CGATCACCTTTCACTAATATCCTATCACTTCCTAATCCATTAATGTCTCTTCACCTATCATCATCCTATCATCTCGTAATTTGCACTACAAGGCGTAACAACCTTGTTGTAATCCAAGGATTCAGCTGAAAAGCTGATCCTGGAAAAATTACACACGTGTAGCGTGGTCAGTAATGGCCTATACGCCAATAATAATAATAATAAATGGAAACCTAAGTCCATTACATTCAGACATGATGACACAGATCATTTCATACAATTCCTTGCCAACTAGGCAATGAGGTCATCGTGCCTCGCGATGTACACACCTTGGCATCATACTAGAAAGCAAAATAGCATAATAAGCAATTTTCCCATGTTGTAAACCAGTGGTCTAATTCGTATTATTCTCCAACACTCTCATAAATACCGTAAACGAAAGAATTCCCCACCGACAAGGTGGCTCACGACATCAATTGCTGTCACTGCAGTGGCTCTGACAAGAGATATTAGGGCTCGAGCCCCGACGGTGGCAGGATTTTCGACAGTAGCTAGATCGCGTAGTCAGTCGCTGTTTGGTGAAGAAGTCTAGCAGCAGGCTGCTCTGACCGGTAGTTTTCCGAGGTTTCTCCGATAAAAACCAGACGAATGCCAGAGCAGCATCTTAACAAACGAGCCATGGCCCGCGTACAATCTTCCCTTCCTCTTCCTTGTTTTTCTTCACCCATTGCTAACACTAGACTACACTTGTCGGGAGAGCAGTCGGGAACTTGAAGCTTGCCCGGGGGGCAGGGCAGTGCCAGTCCGATTGGAGATACCTGGGGATGATCCCCGCAAACCGACGCAGGATCTCGCCATCCAGCGGGGAAAATCATCGCCACCTCTCGCAATAAATGCATGCACTACACTTACTGGACTTATGAGATTAGCAGTTCACGCTACCGGAATCAGTCATCAATCAATCAATCAAGGAATTCCCGTTAATGGGAAATTCTTTCCATAAAATAATTATCTCTTCTGTGAAAGATGCAAAACTCTTGCCACAACCCCTGTGTATTTTTTGGATTGCATTTTTTTTTACTTTCTTTCCCCGGAGTAGAAACATAAGTAACACAACACTAGTAAAATAAATACTTTTTTCTGCGCTATAATTTATTTTCACTTTATGCATTTACAGTGGGGGTTTGTCGCAAGCGTCACGTAATTAATTAGGGAGGTTTAAGCGCGCGTTACGGGTGCGTTACCAGGGGGAGAGGGGGTATTGAAAACACTCCAAATTTGCGTTGCGTAATTTATGGAACGCTTGCGAATCCGCTTCTTTCACGCAAAATTACGCGAAAAGTATTCAAATTTTCGAAAAATTGTACATGATCTTATTTCAAAATCTATCTTTAAAGAAGAGATTTAATTAAGAGAAAACTTGTAGGAAGAAAATAAATTTTTGTTTTTTTTCGAAAACCCAAAGTTTTCGACGAAAATGAGACATGCACTATTCACTTAAACATCCTTCATACTATCCAACTACAAGTTTTAATCGAAAATGATGGAGCATTTTTTTCTTAATTATGAAAATGTCCCAGGGGCTTCATACTCAGCAAAATTAAAACACAGATTTCAAATTCAAGAGGCCGCCACTACAGCCAGATCGATTGGGGAATATCAATTTTGGAGAAAATCGGCTCAACGGTTTAGCCGCTAATGTTGTTCAAAGGCGGACAGACAGTCGGACAGACGGAGTCCGTCATTCTATTTTTCGGTATCAAGGACCCACAAAACATGAAATCTGAAAAACCACGTGTTAGAGGATTTCCCCCCCTAAATTTAGCAACTGGATTGATCCTCTTTTTCGTTTATATGACTCTGTTTTCTGAAGAAAAAAAATCTTCGTTTTTTCGCGCAGCAATACATATCTTTCTCTCTACTGTTTAAGCGGTAGCAAGAAAGAAAAAAGACTTGACCATACGTTATCAAGTGCAGTATAAGTTTGAGGTAGTTTGTATACCAAAAGGTAAAATAGATAAAATATATTTTTATTCAAAAAGTACAATGTTTACCTCTATAATGTATCAAATATAATATTAAATGCTGTATATATTTTTTCTTCTTGGTATTGTAATCTGTATCTTCTTTCTTGGTATTGTAATGTATAGATGTTAACATTTTTTCTCTATCTTACACGCCCATGTTTGCAGACGACCAAGTTCCCGAATCAGAGTTAAAAATCTTCAAATGTGACTTTTGACGTAATATTGCTAGCATGATTCGGAATATAATTAATTCACATCATATACACTATAACGAGTGAACATGATCAAAGAAGCGATTAAAAGTAGTTCAACCTATTAATTTTATCTAGAATTAGTTTGGTTTTGTTTAAAGCCAAGATCTAATTCGGCTCACAAATGGTAGCACAATCCATTTCTTCCTTCTTCGTGTTTTAGTAATTTTAGTAAGTCATTGCAGCAACAGCAATACTTTTCTTCAGCGTCGAGCGCTTGCATACTTGTTTCATCAGCTTCTGGAAGGATGAGGTGGCTCTCAATGCCATCTGTATATACTTTGGGAACGCCAAGGGATCCCCTTTGAAATCTTTTCTGTAAAAGGACCACAAACGGAAACTAGTCGTGCAAAAAGAGCACGTACTTTCTCGCCTTTAGTAATAGTTATGTAATACTATTTAAACTAGTTATGCTATATTTTATTTTAACAATTTATAAAAATGAATGTTTAACCATTTGAAATTGTAGCTATTCCTTTTCCTTTACATGAAGCCCCTGGGTTATTGATTAACAACTCCCTTCAACGTTATTTATTAAATTATGTTGTCCAATAGTATGAAGGAAATTTATGCGAATGGCGAAAGTCTCATTGCCAAAGTCATATAATGTCATGTAGTGTTTTGTAATAATAATGTAAAAGAAAAAGAATAGCTAAAATTTCAAATTATTAAACATGCATTCATATTTATAATTAGAAAGTTTCAAAATTTCGAAACTTTTTTTACATTCTAGTTTCTATCCAGCAAAAGTATTACTTTTACTAGCATACCGTTCTAAAACTCACGCGTGTTAAACCCTACCCTATTTTTTCCTATGGATATCGTGAAACTGAAACATAGAAACAGGTGGACCGTTTCTATTGTAGTTCGCTTCACAATTACGTACACAGCACTTGTAGACTTCGGCAAAACGTGAATTAAATGGTCACCCTACACGCCTAAGAACGAGTCTTCATCGGTATCAAGTAACTATTAATAGTACTCGTTGTTGCTGCGAGAGCGAATCTTTAATTGAAAATTATACAAATAAACCTCGTCAGTCTGCGCAAACCAAGGTGTACACGAAAGCGTAAATAGTGTATGCGGAAGGAATTTATGTCTTATATCGAAGCGTGACGGCCACCAGCCGCAAAGGCTGAAATATTGGTCACATATTTTGTATTATCCCATGCATAGGTGATATTAGTAGTATCGATAAGCACCAAACCGGCAAAAATTTAATAAAATGTCTAAGAAAGTCTCATCCTCTAGATTACAATGTGAGGAACGTTTCTTTGAGGTCCTGGGCCTCAATATTTTAGTTTTTCAGGATCTAGAATGGTTTGTTTAAGAGTTAAGTAACGATATAGCTGACCATGTGTTTCGGGTTGGATTTGACATGTATATTTGGATACATATTTGAAACAAACCCTTCACATTTTTAGGTAAAAATGCAATTTGTCACGCCTTTGTAAAATTATCTTTCTTTAGAAAACTCATTTATGAAGATTGTTAGCCTGTAAGAGTCGCAGAGCAGTATATATATATATATACTACTGCAATAATACAGAAGACGATTATAACCATCAAATTTCAGTTTCGCTGAATACTTGGCTAATATCAAAGGTAAGATTTTCTCGGAGTGAGTATTGGAAGCTCCCAGTACATGCTCCCAGTACACACAGAGGGAAGTGTAATAACTCTAGTTAAGAACTTGTCGCTCGATTTGACAGACTCGAAAGACACTTGAAAGACTTGCTCGAAAGAGGTGTTTTGCCGGCAATCGGTTTTTCGGTATCAAGAAACCACAAAACATGGATGTCCTCTACACCACGTGTTAGAGGATTTCCCCCCCTACATTTAGTAACTGGATTTATCCACGTTCTCGGTCTCGAACCCTGTAATAAGAGCTTTCTGTCGAAAATTCGTCGTTTTTTCGATATATGGCATTTCTTAATTTTCTCTCTAGCGCGGTCGCGGAAACGAGAAAGTAAAAAAACAACTTCGGTGCTTCTCATCCTGCAACTAGTGAACCAGTGTGAGTCAACAAATCGAGCGCATAGTGAAGCTACATTTACTACCAAGAATCAACGGAAGCGGCCACCTCAGCATTTGCTCCATGGATCAAGGGCGATCAAGGGGAACTGAACGAAAAACCTGATTGAGATAGAGGGCATTGGCACGGATGCTGGCATCGGCACGAAAGTTGAAGTAGAGTACTTTTCACAGACATATTTAGTATTTTGCAAGTAAACAGTACGAATAGTAATTAAAATATTAAATTAATATGTTCGTTTTTATAACCGGAACAGTCTCTTATTATATAGAAACACTTATACAACAGAAAAGTACTTTTGTTGGTTTTAAAAATTGAGTATCGATTTTGGATGTGGATGTGAAATTCTTGTAGAGAGCTGCTGATACGGACTTGTAATGAATATTATTCCTACGGCGTGTATTGTAATAATAGAAGACAAAAACTACATAATATTTCTCTTTCAAACGATTAACAAATTATTGTGTTTGGAAAACACTACGTGCGGATGGGTTTTAGAACATGCATACGCTGCAGTCCGCTGCAGTCGGCCGGCAAGCGATAGAGCGAGCGAGAGAGAAAGACTGATATGGAGAGCGAGAGAGAGAGCGCGCGCGAGCGAGGGCTGCGCGCGGCGCTGCCGAGTGGTGGGAGTTGTGCACACGCCACGCGGGCCGTGTGCGCGCCGCCGCCGCCACCGCCGCTGCCCGCGCCTACTTAAACCGCAGCGCCCCGAGCCGGCGACATCAGCTGCCTTCGTCCGCTCCGAGAGTTGACGTGACCGACCAGCCTTCTTCTTGTTATCGAAGCGTCCAGCTTTCATCAGCAACCATGCCTGACCCTTGCTGCGGAAGCGGTGGCAGTAAGTTGAATTGCTTTTGCTTTGCGACCTAGTTGTTAGGGATAGTTCCTGTTGCTAGTTTGAAGGTCGGTGCTTGCCGGCTTACCTAACATTGAATGCGTTTGAGGATAAGTTTGTCTTTGATAAATGGAAGTAAAAATATGCGAATGCACTATCGACTTCGACCAACTTCCTTGTGAGCCTAAACGCAAATTTTTCAAATTCTTCAAAAGTTTATGATCGTTAAAAGTTTCGAGGTTAGATTACTTTATCATTTATAGAAATCCTATTGAATATTTTCGTAACTATTGAATATTTCTGTTGGGTACTTGTATATTTGTAGCATTTCATGTTAACTTCTTCAATAACATAAAATCCCACTTATGGACCTAATTACAGGTCAAAAATTCTAGTCGCTTATATACTTTTTCTGCAAATGTTCGACCTTCTCCTCGTAGCTAATAAGTGGAAAGTAGACGACGATTTTGATAAAGTGGAGCGTGACTCCAATCGATTTCGGCGGCCGATCGACCGAAGCGTAAAGGCAAGAAATTAGACCACAGCAGTTTCACGCTTTCGGCATTTAGAATTGAGAAACTTCATTCGTGGATTCCGGCTAAACACTAGTGTTGTAAATAAAAATATTTATTTTTAAAATGATCGAACCTTTACTAGAACTCTTTCGAAAATGTGTAGTGAAAGACCAGTTATATCCGTAAAAATTAATTAGTATTAATGTAAAAATACCCACACCCAATTAGTACAAAACTAATTGAGCTGCGTAGCAAGTAGTAGCAGTCTGCAGTTGCTACGATTAGGCAATCTCTTCGAGTACGCGTTCCACTCGCCAACGCTCGTGTTCGTGTTTGTGTTGCAGGTTGCCAGGGCGACAGCTGCAAGTGCGGTGCCAGCTGCACTTGCACGAACTGCGCCTGCAAAGGCGAGAAGAAGTGAGCGGGCGCGCCGCCCTGCCGCCGGCGCTGCCGCCGATGCCGGCGCCCTGGTCACGGCACAGGTGAGCGGCCGCACTTCGCGTTCCAGGAAGCTGAAACTGTTCCACGCGATGTGGCCGACGAGCATTCCGAGACCGCGGTTAAGCCGTTACTTGCATCACGTTTGTTATTTTGGTGTCTTTATAGCGCTGTGAATTCTGGTCGAAGTTAATTTTTTGGGGAAAATATTTATTAAAAACTAAAATAAGGTATGTACATTGTATGTACGGTATGTAAAAATGTACATTGTAAGATTTTGATTACAAAATTACTAGCAACATTTTCACAACTGAAAGTTATTTTCAGAATACGTCGAACTATTTTGAATGGGACAAGCGTTCGTGATATTGGGAAAATGAAGAGAAATCCGAAAATAATTATCCGAATCAATGGAATAGAAGTTTTCGAATCTCGTATTTTAATTTGAAGAACTTTTCTTTTTTTAGTACAATACAAAAATTAAATTAAGCGTTTTTCTCTGAACTATTTAACTTTCTTACGTTCTGATTTCATTTTTCAAACGTAATATTTCCATCCCTGATTCTACCATCTGTCAAATTAGTTTCATAGACATATGCCGTCAGGGTAGAAAATTGTGCTATTCATTCTGCAGTGAACCTCGGCTGTCAAACAAAAGTAATTGCAATGCTAACTAGTTTACTTCGCATTCACGTAGGCACTGTGGTGTGTGCTTTCATTACCGTGTTAAATAATTTAATTATTGACTACACGCGTGGCTATTTTCATTGGACCATAGGAAATGCAGGCTTTCGGCATTTTATTCAGGACTCTTACAGGACTCAGTCAAACCACGAAATGCTGTGCCATCGTGAAGTGAATGGGTGACGATGAAAACCAGAACGAAATATGTGACATTTTATCAATTCTGAAAAAAACGTGATTATTTTAGACCGAATTTCAGTGGAAATGTATTTTCAGAGTTTTCATGAACAATTGAAATGCCGTGAAACAAACCACCACGACTTTACAGTGATTTTAACTTCAATAAACAGATTTCTCAGAAATTTATTAAATATCGCTTTTCGTACCGTTCTGGTTTTCATCGTCGACAAGCGTCCCAAATCGGCAGACAAGTGTGGTGGGGAGATTCGGGGCAGGAGGGCGAGGGAAGGAGGGCGTGCATCAAGAGCACGACGAGCAAAAGACTCGTGCTGTTACTGCGGGTCATTGCCCTGGCTTGTTCTTGACTACGGGCCTTGGCCGACCGGCAGTGACCCATGGGATAAGGTTCGCGTGGTTAGCACGAAGTCATCCCTTCACCGTACATACTAGCCTTCATCACCTTAGGGGTGAGCTTCCTCGTCTTTACACCGCAATAGATACTGGGACATTTGTAAGGGAAGCGCACAGTTATAATTTGCCTCGGCCGGGGAATCGAACCCAGGGTTGCGCAGGGGAGAGCGAGCATTCTAACCGAAGAGCCACACGACAGGGCACTGCGGGTTACTACTCACTGAGAAACGTATGAGGAGTCCACATTTGGTACTTGTTAAATTCCATCGACTCTCCTTCCGAAACACAGTCGCTCAAGGGCGTTTCAATAATGGCGTGACATATGAATTGGTTTCAAATACGTTTAACTTTGTTCCCGATTTGTAACCATTAGTGTGTGTTCTTGATTCTTGTTTGGAATAACAAACTTTATTATCACTAGTTCTTCAATAAGAATTGTCATCTATTATACTCTACATTTCTATTTGCTTGGGATAATATGCATATAAATTCATATCTTAAGAGAAAGGAATACCTTACCAAGCAACGTACCTTTTAGCTCGTGCATTTATCCACAAAAAAATCAAATACAAGTTTTGCTCTTTTTACAGAATTGTTAAATATTTATTCCAAAACCCTGTTTAATTCGTGTGTTTTATTTGTTTCAGGCTTAAACACCAGTGAATACTCTTCAAATACTGCCTGTGCCACCATCACCTATCAACTTTTCATCGCTAATTTATCTACCGCATCTCCACTGTTCTAAAATTATTTCACAGTATTTTCATAACTTTCTGTTTTTGTCTTCTGTACTTTATGTCAATGTGAAATAATAAAAAAAATATTGTTGCTATTTTGATTTATATTTTCAAGTGAACCCTGCAACTCCAAACTATAAAGTTCAATCATCCTTAATTTTTTCCTTACATTTTCGCTGTAAGAACATTCTGGTTCATATAAATATCAAATAAAAATTCACATATATATGTGTATATACTATTATACATGTCATATATATGTTATATATATTGTACTATGTTCACCACAAATAAATTATTTTGAATCTCTTTTCCCATCAGAATATTAAAGGGAAACTCCGGAAAAAAAGTATTACTTTCTTATCCACTAGTATCTAATATATCATGTTATGTAATAGTGAAAAAGGTTGATGAGATTTGGACGGAAATACGTGTGAGGAGGGTACCCAACATCGCAAAAGTTTTTTAAAAAACTTCTACTGTACGTCCAATAATGAAATTATGGACAGTTTAACTTTTCCTACTCTCGAAAATCCAGGTTTAATTGAAAATCAAACGTTTAATATATAAGTGCAAAGCTCTGTATTCGCACAAAAATAATTATTTAAGGAAATTTTGAAAAGTGATATAAACGTCAGAGGGGGGTATGAAATTCCGTCAAAAGTAAAACGTCAGTTTCACAAACACTGCGCATCGAGTTTCGCCAAATCGATCTGTAAATATATATTCTAGTACAGACCCTGTGTTTGCTTTGGGCACTAGAGTAGTTAACAAAAGCTGATTTTGAAACTAGTGATATTATGTGACACAAACGTTCTCTTATTATTTGTAACAATTCTGTAAAATGATAATTACACAATTACAAGTTATGTCCCTTTCATATTTTTAGCTATTATGTGAAAATTTCTGTACACAATGTATATTTCCTCGTAGTACCTTCTAAATCCCATCTTAGACGAAAATTTGACTTTTTATTGTTTACATGTCCAATAAAATACTAAGTTACACTGAATCTACTTGAAATGAAATTAATTAATGAAAACAACAGAATATGTTGCCATAGAAACAATGTTCGAAACTTTATTTAGCTTTCAAACATTTCTCCTCGCATTCATTCATTCTTTCATCAGGCACCAGTGATATATAAGAGTATGTATAGTTATGCTGGATAACAGCGAACTTAGTCTGTTAAATACGTGAAAATGTGATAAATTTCTTTTATATTTCTCGGCAGGTGGCGATATATTATGTATCCAGGTAGACTGCAATAGCGAATAAGCTGAGACTAACCTCATCTTTTGTCATTAGGTAAAACAATATATGGTGTGTTTCTTCAATAAGAATTGTCACCACAAATGAATTATGCATGCCACAAATTACCGCAACTAAATCTCAAATCCATCGGGAATTGAAAATTAGAAGCATAACCATCTGGAACTTAAATCTACGAAAGAAAACAGAATTTAAGAAAATTCCACTAGCTAAGTATGAGTTACTACTGATAACTATTGTAAGGAACTTCATGTGACAATCAGATTAATGGTAGTATGTAGTATAGCCGAGGTAAACGGTCTGATATAGTAGTATATAACTATATTTTTCTAATATTTACGTCTTCCTTCGAATACCATCTTAAAATTGTTTAAAGAATTACTCATATTCATACAATTGTTTATTTGTACAATCTCGGCTGTCCCCCTTTGATAATGGAGTAATTATAGTGCGTTGACATACTGTTGGTCACTCTTTCCTTTTCCAGATCACATTGTATAATTTTGTCAATTTCGCCAAGATTTCTTCCCCTATATCTTTGAATAGTTCGATTGGAATATTATCTACAGTCAGGAACTTCTCATTTTTCAGTTGTTTTGTCGCCCAATTCATTTCTTCGATCTCAGGTTCTTATTCGTAATCATCTATATTTATCCACTACTCTATTTGTAAGTCCTTCTTAGATAACTTCTTCGTGTATTCTTCCCATCTTTTTGTGATCTCTTCTTTTGTTGTATATATTTTGAGTTCTCGTTCTTAAGATTCGGCATTGTTGGTTTACACTCCGTGGTCGAATGACCTGGAAAATTTCTTAAGAACTCCATTTTCTATTATGTTCCCCACTTTCTTAGCTTTTTTCTTGAATAAACTTTTCATTATCTTGTCTTGGTCTAAGCTGGAATCCCCGTAGAATTTTCTGACCTTCGTCTGGTTATTTGCTTTCTTAGCAAAGATATATAATATTTAAAAAGGAGGAAATATAAAGACTCCGTTGTACATAATAACAATAATAATAATATAAATAATAATAATAATAATAATAATAATAATAATAACAAGCACGCGTTTGAAATAAAAACCAAAGTACGTACACTATAGTATTGCTTATATCGTACTATATATTCCATTAAATCTTCATTCGATGTCTGTGTTTCCAAGATTTTGTAAAACTTCTTTATTTTTCACGGATAAATTCTGGAATTTTTTATGTGTCTGAGTTAGTCCGTCGATTGTGAAAACTATTGAGCAGGTTGTTGCTCCAAATGCATCGGGGGGTTGGTCTTTCTTCACCACCTGCCACAAAGGACTAGGGCAGGGACTAGAGGGGCTGCCTTTTAATATTCTAAGTATAGAAGAGAAATTCAATGGTGCAAACCAAACTCCAATCAGGCGAATAGTTTCCGAAGCAGACGAGAAAAAAAATTAACCCTTAAAGATGAGGTACAGAATAAACAAAATTAAGCTTAAATGGATCAGGTTCACAATAACCCCCCATTACGTGACAAAATTGAAAAAAAATGAATTTGGGCGCTGCCTTTTAATATTCTGGGTATAGGTAGAACACTTTAAGATAAATATAATGGTGCAAAACAAACTCCGATCAGACGAATAATTTCCGAGATAGACGAAAAACAAAATGAACCCTCAAAGAATCAGGTTCGTAACACCACCCCATTACGTGACAAAATTGTAAAAGTATGAATTTCGGCGCTGTCTTTTAATATTCTATATATAGGTAGAACACTTTAGGAGAAATTCATTAGTGCAAACACACTCCGATCAGACAAATAGTCTCCGAGATAGACGAGAAACTAAATGAACACTCAAAGAATCAGGTTCGTAATACCCCCCCCCCATTACGTGACAAAATTGGAAAAATATTATTTTCGGCGCTGCCTCTTCATATTCTGGATATCGGTAGGACACTTTAAAATAAATATATTGGTGACACAAAACTCCGATAAGACCAATAGTTTCCGAGATAGACGAGAAATAAAATGAACCCTCAAAGGATCAGGTTCGTAATACCCCCCCATTACGTGACAATTTTGGAAAAATATGAATTTCGGCGCTGCCTTTTAATATTCTGGGTATAGGTAGAACATGTTTAGAGAAATGATATGATGCAACCAAACTCCGATCAGACGAATAATTTCCGAGATAGACGAGTAAAAAAAATGAACCCTCAAAGGATCAGGTTCGTAATACCCCCCTCCCTTTACGTGACAAATTTGGAAAAATATGAATTTCGGCGCTGCCTTTTAATATTCTGTGTAGCGGAAGAATACATTAAGATAAATATAATGGTGCAAACTAAACTCCGATCAGACGAATAGTTTCCGAGATAGACGAGAAACAAAATTAACCCTTAAACAAGTAGGTTCGTAATACACCCCCATTACGTGACAAAATTGCAAAAATATTAATTTCGGCGCTGCCTTTAATTATTTTGGGTATAGGTAGAACACTTTAAGATAAATATAATGGTGCAAACCAATCTCCGATCAGACGAATAGTTTCCGAGATAGACAGAAACAAAATGAACCCTCAAAGGATCAGGTTCGTAATACCTCCCCATTACGTGACAAAATTGCAAAAATATGAATTTCGGCGCTCCCTTTTGATATTCTAGGTTTAGGTAGAACACGTAAAGAGAAATTCAATGGTGCAATCCAAACTCCGATTAGACGAATAGTTTCCGAGATAGGCGAGAATCAAAATATTCCCTTTAAAATCAGTTTCGTAATACCCCACATTACGTGTCAAAATTGCAAAAATATTAATTTCGGCGCTGCCTTTTAATATTCTGGATGTAGGTAGAACAATTTAAGATAAATTCAATAGCGCAAACCAAACTGCGATCACAAGAATAGATTCCGATATAGACGAGAAACAAAATGAACCCTCAAAGAATCAGGTTCGTAATAACCCCCGCTTACGTGACAAAATTGGAAAAATATTCATTTCGCCGCTGCCATTTAATATTCTGGGTATAGGAAGAACACTTAAAGAGAAATTCAATAGTGCAAACCAAACTCTGATAAACAAGAATAGTTTCCGAGATAGACGAAAAACAAAATGAACCCTCAAAGAATCAGGTTCGTAATAACCCCACATTACGTGACAAAATTGCAAAAATTTTAATTTCGGCGCTGCCTTTTAATCATCTAGGTATAGGTAGAACACTTTAAGAGAAATTATATGGTGCTAACCAAACTCCGATCAGAAGAACTGTTTCCGAGATAGACGAGAAACAAAATGAACCCTCAAAGAATCAGGTTGGTAATACCCCCCCCATTACGTGACAAAATTGGAAAAAAAATATTTTTTTGTGCTGGCTTTAAATATTCTTGATTTAGGTAGAACACGTTAAGAGAATTTCCATAGAGCAAACCAAACTCCGATCAGACGTATATTCTCCGAGATAGACGAGAAACAAAATGAACCCTCAAAAAATCAGGTTCGTAATAACCCCACATTAGGTGAAAAAATTGAAAAAATTTTAATTTTGGCGCTGCCTTTTATTATTCTGGGTGTAGATAGAACACGTTAAGAGAAATTCAATGTTGTCAAACTTAGATCAGACAAATAGTCTCCGAGATAGACGAGAAACAAAATTAACTCTCAAAGGATCTGGTTCGTAATACCCCCCCCCCATTACGTGACAAAATTGGAAAAATATTAATTTCGGCGCTGCCTTTAAGTATTCTGGGTATAGGTAGAACACATTAAGAGAATTTCAATGGTGCAAACCAAACTCCGATGAGACGAATAGTCTCCGAGTTAGACGAGAAACAAAATGAACCCTCAAAGGATCAGGTTCGTAATACCCCCCCATTACGTGACAAATT